CTGCTGTAGTGTCTCGTGCCGCGCCATGATGTTGGCTAGGGCTAGGGCCATTATTTGCGCACTCGGGGGGCTGCCTCGCCGGATGGGCCGGTCTCAGCGATGGGGCCGGTCTAGCTCCCTTTCGCGGGTTCTCTTTTGGTCCCGTCTTGCCCCGCCTTTGCCGTTCAGTCGTTGCGCCTTGGCTCTGGGTGTGGTCACCAGCTCGTCGTCGTCGAACCAGTCCTCTTCCGTCCCATTTGCGAGATCTGGGCAAGGGCATGGTTGTCTGCCATGGCTCTGCAGGACTCTAAGCTGAAGAAGAGGGAGGCACCTACCATGAACCTTCGGAGTCTTGGTATAGGTGTCCCTGCAAAATCTGCAAGGCCTGGAGAGGACGGTGGCTTTTATGTCAGCGGCGACACGATCCTGTAACTGAGGGGCGCACCAATCAGTACGTTCATTTGTAGGGTTGAAACGCGGGGGCTGGATCAGTGGGCTTGGCAAAAACCAAAGTTATCAAAATCAGAAGTCATTCACTTACCAACCACTTTGGCAGCTGTGGAGCAGCTGCGAGTCCACAGGAGTAGGCTCACGAGCCACTCGATGCAATTAGGCATCTCAATCCGTTGTCTGATTGTGCTGATTCCTTAGGAATCATGCTTCGTCGTGGTGGCGCAGCCTAGAGCTGCATGGAGCCCACTTCCGCCTACGCTTGGGTGAGTGAAGCTATCGTCTCGTGGGCGATGCACGCCCTCAGAGACGGTGTAACCTAGTCGTAGATGTACAGTTCTACGTAGTTGAGCATAGTATCGAGCCAACGACCTTTTGAGGCAGTGCTCATGAAAAGTCGTCTGTAGGTCGAGTGCGATCCTGAACTAAGCAAGCTGTTGTTTCGAAAGGGGTGAGGCAAACTTGACGATGCCGAAGACTTCAACCCGCGAGCTCAATGAAGCTTCGTAGGCGGGGTGTTTATTATTTTGCCTCCTAGGATACCCCATGCAATTTATCATGATTTGCTTTATCGTATTTCATGCACTCATGTGTTTCACATTGTGATTGCGCTATACTCCGCAGGCGTCTTTGAGGAATCAAAAGATTTTCAGAAACGGAGGTGCGCAAGCACATGCTGACACACCTGCCGTACGCCAGCTGGTGCAGCGCATGTGTGAAAACCCGTGCCCGAGGAGACCGCCGCGGCCGACGCAAAGCGACAGACCGGACCCCGATCGTCCAGGTCGACTTCTCCTTCACCTCTGTGGACCCCGAGGGCAGACCAGTCACTCCTGCAACTTGGTGGCCGTCGACCTCGACACGCGGATGGTCTTGGCGGTGGCTGGCTTGGCAAAAGGAGGCCCAGCCCTGGCTACGCGGAGGAACTGCTCAGGTTCACGCTGGCCCTCCACGACCAGGACCAGATCGTCTTGCGGACGCCGAGCCCACGATCAAGGCGGTGGTCCGCACGACGGCCGAGGCTCGAGCGAGCCTGGGCCGAAAGACGACGCAGAGGACGACCCCGACGGGGGTTCATCAGGCCAATGGCGGGGCGGAGCGTGCAATTCAAACCATCAGGAGATTGTCGAATACGCTGATGGAAACTGTGGAAGAAACCCACGGGAAGATGCCCGTTGGCTGCGACATCCGTTTGTGGTCTCAGCAGCACGCGGCCTTCTTGTACAACAGGTTTCAATGCCGGCAAACTCTGCATCTTTGGGGAAACTGTCCATGGCAAGATGGTGACACCCTACAAGGGAGGCGCCCAGTGGATCGCTGGAGCCTGGGCCGGACCGAACCCCACCAACGGCACCCACAATATCCTCACCGACAAGGGCGCGATCGAGGCAGCCTCTGTGAGACGAGCGGCCGAGCAGCAGCCGCCCAACAAGTTCTGTGGGCTGCCGTGGCTGTCCAGCAGCGCAGTGCTCCGACCCAAGATGGGCAAGAAGATCGGCCCGGTGGCGGTGGCATTCCCCATGGTGGCGGCCCCGCCCGAAAGGGATGATGATGAGCACGGGCCGTCTTCCGACGAGGAGGCAGCCGCGGTGGAGAAGGCAGCCAAGGAGATTGCGGAGAAGGCCGGCTCGGAGAGATGATCAAGGGCGACGGTCCACCTCCGTCACCAAAGCGACGGGCCGGAGGACGCAGCGAGCCCAGCCAGGGCAGCAAAAGAGGCGGACGTGGAGCCCCAGACCGGCACCAAGCGAACCCTCGAGGAGGCACAAGGAGAGGCACAGACCAGCACCAAGCGGACCCAAGAGGAGGCACAAGGAAAGGCACAGACCAGCACCAAGCGGACCGGACCCAAGAGGAGGCGGCCTTAGGCGAAGAAGTCAACCCGATGAGCATCCGGATGGTCAAGACCGTGGACGCTGAGTGGTCTACAACCAGCTTGGCCAGCACCGAGCAGGACCCAGAGATGCCAGAGGTCGGCCCAGACGACAAGCAGAGCCCGAAGCACATCACGACGGAAAATGCCGACCAGCCGCCGGACCTCGACCCAGAGACCCTCCAGGAGTACGACGACATGGCGGAGGTGGAAGAGATCGAGCGGCTCATTGGCATGGGCGTGCTGATCGAGCCGATCGCGGGAGAGGAGGCAGAGCTCCTCAGCACCACCTTCGCTACCACGTGGAAGGGCGAGAAGGGAACTTGGTGGCGGCGAGCGCGCCTTGTGGCGCGGCGATACCGATGGGCCAACGTGTGGGTGTGCGACGCAAAAGACGCCTAGAATGTGGAGCAGCCTGCTGATGCGCCTGTGGTGGTGGACGCCCCGCTCTCCTATGTGCGACGCTATGGACCCAAGAGGTGGAAGCTGGGCCGGATTCTTCCCGACCAGCGTCGCGGTGCTCAGGAATGGTTTGTGCCCCTGAATGTGGACCTCGAGAAGCAAGGCCTGGAGGCGATGATCGAAGTCCCGACGCTCTATCGGGCCAAGAGCCCTGAGGAGCGAAAGGCGGCCCAGGTTCACGTGGACGATGCCATGATGACTGGCGACTTGGAGGTGGTGAACCCCCTCCTGGACAGCCTGGGCAAGGTCTACACCATCAAGGTGAATGGGCCGTTTTACCCGGGGGACGAGTTCGAATTCCTCAAGCGCCGGTTCAGGATCGAGGCAGATGGGTCGATCACGGTGCGCGCGGCGGCCCACTTCTACATCGACATCTTCGACCTCCTTGAGCAGCCCCGGCTGCGACAGACACCCGGCCCCGTTGGCGACCTCTTCATGGTCGATGACTCCGAGCAGCTCGGGCCAGGAGAGGCAACCCTTTTCAGAACGGTGGTCGGCAAGCTCCTTTACATTGCCGGCGAGCGCCCCGACCTGCAGGTGGTGATCCAGTTCTTGGCGTCCCGGGCGGCGGCACCAACCGAGGGGGCACTTCGTGTGCTCAAGCACCTGGCTGGCTGGCTTCATGAAGGCGACCGAGGGGCACGGGGTGAACTTCAAGGCAACCAAGGGGGCATCGATCATGAACTTCGACGCTAGCGGCCCCTACGGCAAGCACTTGGTGGAAGCGGTCAGTGACAGCAACTTCGCAACGGACCGCAACACCCGAAAGAGCCTCTCGAGCGGCCACGTGTACATCGACAAATGCTTGATGTTTTCGTTCGTACGCAGCCAGAAGGTCGTGACCCTAAGCTCGGGCGAAGCTGAGCCGGTGGCGCTGACGCAAACGGTCGGCGAGAGCATCTTGATCCACAAAGCGTGGGAATTCCTCATGCGAGCCGAGGCAGACCATGTGGCGCGGACCGACTCTTCGGTGGCAAGGGCGATTTCAATTCGCCTTGGTGTGGGCAGGGTGAAACACCTGCAAACCTCGAGCCTGTGGATCCAGCAGTGGGTCCACAAGAAGATGCTGAAGGTAGCGGCCATCGGCACCAGCAAGAACCCCACCGACATGGGCACGAAGATCCTCTCGGCGAGCCGGTTGCGCATGCTGAGCGGGGTCGCTGGCATGGTGAATGATGGGGGCGAGCACCTTGGAGCAGATGAGCTCAATGAGGAGCTGAGGAAGACGTCCGGGCTGAACACACGGACGCTGAAGATGGTGCAGTTGCTGCTGGCGACCAGCCTGCAAGGCTGCAGCCCCACAGACGGGGGCACCGTCGTTTTCTTCCTGGTGGAGCTCTTCGGCGAGAACCCCGCGGCGGCGATCATGGTGTTTCTCCTGGCGGCTTTCCTGGCGGCTATGGTTGGGAGATGCCTGGCGAGTGTGCGCTGGCATGTGAGCATCCACATTGGCCAGGGCTCTGACCAAGGGCTTGAGCATGGCTACGTCCACGGTAGCCCCAGCCACGGAGGAGCACAAAGCACCAAGGAGACCCAGGCCCAGAACGCCGAGGGCCAGCAGCACACCAAGGACCAGCGGGACACCAGCCACGACCACTACGTCGACTACCTTTTGAAGGTCAGCAAGCAGCGGAAGCACGAGAAGGAGCGTGGTGAGGCACGTGGTGAAGGAGAGACGGGACCCAGCAAGGAGGTGGCCAGGCCATCAGCAGAGGCTGGACCGAGCTCAGAGATGCCACGGTTGGTCTCTGCTGCCGGCAGCTCTATGGACCCTCCTAGGGTTCACGTGCGACCAAGAGGCCAGCGAGGAGCACGAATGGTCTCAACCATCCGTGGGCCCATGTGGGTCGGAGACCTGGACCTTGAGAAGCCGGTGGAGTATGCCCCGAACTTCGGCTACAGCTACCACCGGTCTACCTGTTCGTCCTTTCGAAGGAGCGCACGGAGGAAGGAACCTACCACAACGAGGCGAGCTTTGGAAGCCGGCCTCTACCCGTGCGAGCAGTGCTGTGGAGATGACCATGTGGCCCTGGTGGACCAGAATGCGGCGATCTTCGACATGCAGCCGAAGCGCAAGCGCCGCTGAAGAGCTAGTCCAGTTCGCGATGCAGAGCATCACGAACTGAGGGGGCATGTTAGACTGAAACTACCCCTAGGGCCCAGGGATTGTGTGTGCATTGCTTGTGTCAGCAGGCATGAGATCTGAGAGCACGAGCATAGCATGGCCCCTGCAAGGATGACACGCACAAGATTGTGCAACGACTGCAGCCCTTTGCGAGCAAGAAAAGGAGTGAATTTTCAAGCTTTGAAACGCCTGCAAGCGCAACAGAAGGCAGACGCCGTCCCCAAGGACTTGCCGCTGGAGGAAACGAAATCCTTGAAGCGTGCCCTGGACACGTCTGCTGAGGAACACTCCACGAAGCGGCAGAAGAAGATGGTGGTTGCTTTGGCAGAGCGAGTGACAGCCAAGTTGGCCTTGGTTTCGCCAGCCACTTTTGCGACGGATGCACGTTAGCGCTTACAGAAGCTGCAGCTTCAGGATGAAGAGGAGTTCAAGAAGTTGGACGGCGTGCAGTTGCGGGAGCTGAAAACGGCTGAGATTCGGGGAGATGCACAGCATGGCCTGGCCGTTTGCATTATCAGCAAGAATGAGATTCCCAATGCAGACAAGATCGTCAAAGACAAGGCAAAGGCGTTGTCTCAGCTTTGTGGGCTGCGTGTTTGTCATTTGACAAGCAGCAGTCTAGTTGCGAGGTGTTTGCGGGCAAAGTTTGTCATTTTCCTTGCAACTTCGAAGGAGGCAGAGGCAGGTTTGATTTATCATGGCACTGAAAGTCATCAGGGTCTCGATCTCGGGGCTTGCGTCAGCCGGTTGGTTGGAGGATACGTAGCGGGGCCGGCTTGGATGGCAGAGTGCCTTCGCCGTGGACAGCTCTTGACTCCCTTGCTTCGTTTGAGTGCGGCCGCAAAAGTTCAAAGGCAGGTGGGATTCTGTGACAGTTTGACACAACAAGTTGCAGTTCTCAAGCTACTTTCTGCTATTGAGAGCGATGAACTGGGATCTCGGCGCTGGATCATTCGATCCAGCAGAGCAGCGCTGACACTAGCTACGACTTTATTAGACTTTATTCGAATGTTAATGACCTTCCCTGGCCTTGTAAACCCTAAGCCTAGGACCTGTAAACTTATGCACTCTATCCGAATCAAGGTCCCGAAAAGCTTCTTGGTGGGTGGTGGGAGATTCCTATAAGCCCGCTGCTGGTGATGAAAAACTTCCTGGAAAGATCATCTCGTACAAGCAGTTCCTCCATCTGATCACGACGCATCTCTTTCATAATTGCTTTGGAGCTGTTACTTGCGTGTTGCGAGTTTCCGGTTCTCTATGATGGTTCGTGGCAAAACAACTAAGGTGGGGATGAGTGGCAGTCTGTGCTTTGCTGCGCTGGCCCGGTTGATGTGCAACATAGCCATAAAAAATAAGCTAGTGTGAACTGTCCGGGTCAGTGCTGCTGAAAAGATCCGGAAGGCTTGGGGTTTGGCCTCGCGGTTCGAAAAGAAATACAGCCGTGCTGCTTGAGTTAACTGCATGCAAAATCCACCAGGCCGAATTCTCAACAGCTATCATTTCGGAAAGATGTTGCTTGCAGGCAGACGAGCGCCGCGCTGCAGTGTTGAGCATATCCGCAGATGGAAAAAGACTTGCTCTCTTTCGGTGCAAGCCTATCTTGAAGATGACCCTATCATAATTTTGCAAATGATCCTGCTGAGCATATATTCAGACCCCCAGGCCCCGGCAAGGAAAAAGGACACCCTTATCAGGGAGAGGCCATTCAAGAACCAAGTTGAATTGTTTGAGAATTCAAACAGTTCAAATAATTCAAATCGGGGAATTGAATTATTTGA